AGATATGTTACCTATAAGTAATGGGGTGATGAGAATAGAAGATGATAATGGTGATGCTTTTTGGTAATGTGCATACTAGGTGTTTGTGCATCTGTTTGTGAGGGAGTGAAGTTATTGTTTTAAGTGTGAAGATAGTTGATTATGGTTTATTAGAGGGTGGTCTTCGGCTTGGCGAGTGGAGGAGGCCATGGTGGCTTGGTGATGTGTTTAGCCATATGGAGGAGGATATGTTTTTTGGAAGGTTCGGTTAGGGGAGAAAGAGAAGATGGCATTTTTGGAAGAGCCATGGCGGCCATCATTTTTCGTGGAAGATGGGATGGTCGCCTAATCTTGGTTTCTCTTCAGGACTACATTTTAGGGTTTTAGAGATTGGGGAATTATGAAGGCTTTTTTGGCTCTTTCTTATGTCCCCCTTCAAACCAAAATCCAAAAACTTTTAAAGGCCAAAACCTGTTCAATCTCTCCCAAAATTAGCCCATTCAAACTCAAATTTCAATTGTTAAATTTCAAATTTGAGATTTGATTAGCTAAACATAAGAGAATGGATGTGTGCTAAATTCAAATTCAAAAAAAGATTAGTGGAATATTTGGATAGATTTTCGATTGATTTTGGAGAGATTTTATGTTTTCCATATATTTTCCTTTTTTGTATTTTTATTTTTACTCTTGTTTTTCTAAAATAATTCAAATAAAAAATGAAAGAAAATAAAAATAACATAAGAATTAATTAACAATAAAATAAGTATAGGGAAATTTTGGGTTATGACATACCCGATTACAAAAAATGTATTTCAAAGTCATGAAAATATATTTTATTGCATCATGCATAATGCATCATGCATTACTTGAGTACACTTACCGAGCATTATCTCACCTTTTTATTTCTTATGGCATAGATGAAAAGGTCTAAAATAATAATGACATAACAGAAACTTACAAATAAATGAATAAATAAATATCGTTAATCTGAAATTCGATGTCGGTCTACTATAACCTATTGAATTGCATGCAAATACCAAAAAATAGGTTTCAAGTTTCATTGATTCAAGAAATGCTAAAAATTAGAATAAACTTGAGATACTCTCTTATACACTTTTATTAATCTAAGAAAAATATGTTTTTTTGCCTCCAAGTCATATATAAATAGAAAAATTCGACCAAAAACCTAAAGGAATTCAAAAAGAAAACAAATACAAAAAACCCAAAAATAAGAAAAAATCCTAAAAAATAGTAAAAATCACTTTTGGGAGCTTAAACGGTGTTTTTTTTTTTTTGGTCTAAAATCACTCCTACATCATAGGTATAGCCTATGTGTTTTGCTTGTTTAGCATGGAACTAGGCTAAAAAACCTAAGACCTAGGCCAAATTTTTTTTAGCTTCTATCGCACTCATATCGTTCCATAAATTCCAAGGCTCGTTAGTCTACATCAAATGACATGTTTCAAGTAACCAAATGAAGATTGACTTGCCAGTATGTGTGCATAATAAATCAGGTGTGAGTGAGAAGCCTTATTCTTTCCTTTTATATTATCTTTTAAACTTAAAAGGTGTGTAATAATAATTCAAATAGTAATTAAGGACACGAGGCTTAATGTTTTGCAATTATTGCACTTAGAATGTATATACATGATATTTATTATGTATTTGTTTTGAAAAGCAATATCATTAGCCTTGGCCAACTCCTAGGAAAGGGGTATAATATACAGCCCGAAGGATTGCTCTCTTATCATTAACGAAGTGGAGAATTAATTGCTAAAGTTGATATGATAAAGATTTGTCTTTTCACACTCGATATTCATACAAAAGTGCTTAAGTGCATGAAGTTTGTCATTAAAGACAAATCATGGTTATGGCATTTAAGGTTTGGTCATCTTGGATTTATCGACCTAAAGTTATAACCGAGAGCAAAGATGGTGGATGGACTTCTAAAAATTAATCAATCGATCAATCGTGTGAAGCTCGTGTTAAAGGGAAACAACATAGATAAAGTTTTAAAGTTGGAAAATCATGAAGCAACCAAAAGGCCTTTGGAGATTATTCACTCGGATATAGTTGGTCCATTTGATTTACCATCACTTGGTGGAAACATGTATTATCTTACTTTATTGATGATTTCAATAGAAAAAGTTAGGTTTATATTGTTAAAGAAAAATCATAAGCCCTCGATAAATTTAAGGAGTTCAAAGCAATGGTAGAAAAATAAAGTAGGCGATATCCGAAGATACTTAGATATGATAGAGGAGATGAGTACACCTCAAAGTTATTTGAAGGTGTTTGCAAATAAAATGGAATCATTCATTAGCCGACAACCTCATATACACCATAATAAAATGGCATTGCAAAAAGAAAGAATCGCACGATTCTTGATATGGCAAGGAGCATGATGAAACGAAAGCACTTACCTATAACCTTTTGGGCTGAAGCCATTCTATATGCTATTTATTTACTTAATCGATATCCAAAAAAAGTGTAAAATTCAAAATGCCAAATGAAACATAGAGTGATGCCAAGCCCATAGCTAGACATAGGATTTTTGGGTGCATTTGCATATGCCCATGTTCTCGACTAGAAAAGAAAGAAGTTAGATGACAAAAGAGAGAAGTGTATATTTATTGGCTATAAGAAAAGAAGTAAGGCATATGGATTGTATAATCCTTTGACCAAGAAGGTGATCATCTCTCGAGATGTTGAATTCGATGAAGTAGATTATTGGAGATGGAGTAAAAAAGATAAAAAAAGTTAAAGGACTATTTTTTAATGATGACAATGATGATGAATTCAACACACAAAATGAACAAGGTGATGACCAAACTCCTTTACAAAGTCTAGCTTCAGTAACTCCTAAATGGATACCATCAACATCATCAGGAAGCGATAGTAGCAATAACAATTTAGGGGAGCACTTGAAAATCGGGAGTCTAAATGATATTTTTGATTCCATAAAACTCGTGTAGACAAAATTCAATTACTCCTTATTTTTTTTTAATGGAAGAGTGTGATCCATTAATATGCGAAGAGGCTACTAAAGATGAGAAGTGGAAGAAGGCCTATGAATGAAGAAATTACTAAAATCAAAAGAAATGATACATGGGAATTAACTAGTCTTCCAAGAGGACACAAGGCAATAGGAGTCAAGTGGGTGTACAAGATAAAGACTAATCCATAAGGAAAAGTCGAAAAATATAAGATAAGATTAGTTACTAAAGGCTATAAACAAATACAAGGAATTGACTATGAGGAGGTGTTTGCTCCAATTGCAGGAATTGATACTATTAGACTTCTCATAGTGGTTGTAGCATAAAATAAATGGAAAATTTATTGGATGGATGTGAAATCGACAATCTTGAGTGGATACCTAAAAGAAGAATTTTATATTGAGCAACCACCAGGATATATTAAAAAGGAATAAGAAGACAACGTCTATCGAATAAAGAAAGTCGTTGTATGGATTCAAGCAAGTTTCATGAGCTTGGAACACTAGAATAGACAAGTACTTCCAAAAGAATGGTTTTGCAAAAAGTTCGTATAAGCATGCCTCATACACAAAGAAAAATCAAGATAGTGATATCATGATTATGTGCCTATATGTGGATGATATAATCTTTACAAAAACAATCCAAGTATGTTTAATGATCTTTAGAAAGCTATGACTAAAGAATTTGAAATAACGAGATATTGGTGAAATGCCTTACTTTCTTCGAATTAAGGTAAAACAAATGAAAGATGGAATATTTATGTCATAGAAGAAGCATGCGGAACACATTTTAATTAAGTTTAGAATGAATGTTTATAAGCTAGTAGCTATACCAATAGATGTATGCATGAAATTTAAGAATTGATTCGAACAAAGAGTCCATAAACCCGACACTCGTTCAAGAGTCTAGTTGAAAGTTTAAGGTATTTGACTTTCACACGCTTAGATATTATGTACGCAATTGGACCGGTCTATATATATATATGGAGAAACCAAAGCAAGATCATTTCATTATACCAAAGAGAATTTTGAGATATATCAAAGCTACAATAGATCATGGTTTATTTTATACATATTCTCAAGATTTAAAGTTAATTAGTTCCTTCAAATAGTGATTATAGTGGAGATTTGATGATCAAAAAAGCACTTTTGGATATGCATTTCATATTAGATCAGTAATATTTTCATGGTAATCATAAATAATTGCTCTCTTGACATGTGAAGTAGAGTATATAGCCGCAACAACGTGTACATATCAAGCAATATGGTTGAAAAATACTTTGAGTGAGTTATATCATACATAAGAAGGTCCAATTACAATATACCTAGATAATAAATCTACTATATCACTTGTAAAAATCTAGTGTCACATAGCTGAAGCAAACATATAGTTAGAAAATATCATTTTATTAAAGAGCAAGTGAAAAACAAAATTATAGAGATAGTTCATTACGGAATAGAAGATCAACTCGTAGATATTTTTACAAAACCTTTGAAGACCGAAGTATTCCACACACTCAAAGAAAAGCTTGGCATATGAAGTTGGGTTTGAGAGGGAGTGTTAGAATTCAAACCCTTCTCAGAATTATCTCAAGCCATTAAGAATTATTAGTCATTAAGCAATAGACCAAGTAATATTCAAAGGAGATGGTCAAATGAGGTGATGAATGGAGGTGGTCAAAAGAGGTGACCATTAAGAATTATTAGTCATTAAGCAACATACCAAGTAATATTCAAAGGAGATGGTCAAATGAGGTGATGAATGGAGGTGGTCAAAAGAGGTGATTAAAAGAGGTTATAAAATTTTATGGCTTCTAATTAATTCTAGATTTTCCAAATGAGGAGGTTAAGTTTACCAACAAATATGACCCTTATGATTGTAATGCATACATGAGAAAAATTAGAGAGAATTAAAGAGAAAAAGAGAGAGCAAGAGAGCAACGACTATATACTAGCAGTAGCCTAGAAAAAGAGAAATAAAATCAATCTATTTAGAAAAGATATTTTGTGTGAGGTTTTTTCTTATTATCAATATTTATCAATATATTATTGTTTGAGTTTTATTTTGTGAGCTTATTATGCTTCCAACAAATACAACTCTTGGACTCGATAAAAAATGTGAAAGTCAAAGCAATATTAGGGCCAACAACGTCAATGCAAGCCAATTTTGTTATCGACCTTGGAGAAAAAGTTCAAGTGCCCATTATATCATTTTTGCATCAAGTCCTTCCCTTACTTACAAAAGGAGAGTTATAAATATAGATTCAAGTCAAATGA